TATCACCCACTCATACATCTCAAGTTCCTTAATGTTCCAGTATAAGGTAAAATTTGTTATATTTTAGTTTGTCTTAGCAATAGCAAAAAACTAGCCAAAATTATATATCCAGCCATATGCAGCCATACCTGCAACAAGTAATGAAAGCACTTAACGACACCAAATATATTCAAATACCAACCAGTCAGTCAACCAACCAATAAGCGGTACAGGTAACGGTCATCCAAGATCACGCTCGTCTCGAACGGAGCAACATGCATTTGAAATACCATTGTTTGATGGGTTTTCGCATGCACTATCTTGTTTTCTTCGAGGGTCATTTGCGGCGGTAGCTTTTCATAGTTGATCGTGTACACTCACAGTGTGCTTAACGCAGACTGATCACACACACCGCGTGTGGTTGTCCAACGTCCACCAATCCCCCGTTAGGATTAAAACTAGATGAGACCGAGAAGTTTCAGGGTAACTTCATATTAAGAATGGAAGAAAGGTGACGGCCATCGCTGTCAGCTAAAATGAGTACCTGTTTCTTATGCTCCGTATGCATTTCTTTGTTTTAAAGTAGGCTAGGATGCGCAAGTTTTGGTTTTGACGCGCTTTCTAGTCTGTGTGTTGGTTTGTACGTGAATTTGTAGATGGTAGAGGAGGGTTGCTGGATCAAGAAGGCGAGGACAATCTGCTTCATAAAATTGAAGATATTTTTTAGAAAATGTTGAGGCTTTATGTAGCCACTAAAATCGAAATATCTGTTTATAACTCAGAGGACCACGGTTTTTTTATATCGATTAGAGAATATACTTTTTGGAGAAAACCGGCGGAACGGTTTAGACATTAGGGTTGACCACAGACAATTTGCCTTCAATCGATTTTTCGATTTCAAGAACCTACAAAAAAATGAATTTTGACTACACATCATGTTATGGGAAGTTATTTACTATACACAGGAATAAGAGTCATCCAGCTGTCGTTTCCAGGGCCCAACAATAAAAGTTATTCTGTCGAAAATTTGTTTTCGGGCGCACGATTACAATACTTACCCTTACGAAGCTATGAGAGAGTAGAAGTTCTGCAATAGAAAGCCCAAGTCATTGAATCAATGATGGATGGGCCGCAAGAGTAAAGGAAAATAGGTTACTCTCAACTCACGGAAGTGTTTCGGGTATACTAAGGGAGGAGTAGTGCGTTTGAAGAGATTGCACAGTTTTTGGTCTACAGTGGAAAAAAGGAATTTCCAGCAAGGAATATGATTGCAGAAGGTTTTCAAATAAGTGGAGATGAACATTTAGGACCTCTAGCAAATTCCTCTAGTAAATAGGTACCTGGACGTTTATGCAGTGATCATGATGAACCTATATGATCGGTGACTAGGCTGTAGGATAACCTGAGGGGGTTGGATAATCCGGTAGTCCTGATAGTTTCGCTAAAGATAGTCTACAAACAGATTATAGCGTCTTCTCACATGTGGCTGACCAAAGTCTACCAGAAGGCACTCGATGCGACTGGTGCGGTAGGATCCAGTGGCTGCGCGGATGCCAGTACTGTGAATAGTATTCAAAGTGCGAAGGGAGTATACGGAAACTGATGGGGGCGTACGACAGGCGTCCGAAGGTGGCCTGTCTTGTTACCTGCCTCCTGAGGCATCTTGACGGGCATCGTGGGTCTGCGGCGGGGGCGCGCTGGAACTGGGAATGGGTGGGGGGGGTGCAAAGTGACACTGAGTGTTGGCCAGCACCTCCCTTGTGTCGGCATCATACGTTGCCTAACCATGTATGAAGCTAATAACATGGATAACAGTGATGTATATTGAATTAGTTTACATTTGTAGTGTAAATTTAAAAAAAAACTTAATATGTTTGTAACAAATAATGTACTTCAGCTTCCGGGTCAATGACCTCCATCTCGATCAGGTTTTTGTCCAATTTCCCTGATCCGTTGAGCAAATGTTGATATGGCCCCTTGCTTTGCTTCTGGACGTAAATGTAGCTTCACTATGCGCACGTTTTGTTGAACTCTCTTTTTGCTTGTAATGATAAGATTAGAGGTAAGGGCGAGTTGCTATTTTGTTAACAATGCAGAAAAACCATACTTGCAATTCGTGTACCGATGCAAATAAGTTTTCTATAACTCAGAAACGAAAATTACTGTTTTTCAAATATTGCCAATCTTACAATTTTTAAAATTTATTTATTTACGTTAAAATTTTACTCACCTTTCAACTATAGTTAAAATGACGGGAAGGGATTGTGGAACTCAAGAAAACGTGCGCAGATAATCTTAATCTTTTCCCCTCTATGTCACATAGTTTTTACTGTTTTTGACTTTTTTTTAAATATGATTTTTGATTTCTCAATTACGAATACTAGTTATCTCATTATTAGCAAATCATTGACGTGTTAACAAGATATCCATGTCAGTAATTTGCTATAATTATGTAATTGTCTAAGGAGAATACAAAGATAAATCGGTTTAAAAACTTTACCACAGAGTGTGTTGAGATAGGCTACATTGAAAGATGTGCATTGACTCTGGCTCTTGCAGATGTAACGTTGCAGTGGATAAAGACACCTGATCTGAGCGAGAATGACATTTACTGAGAAGGGATACCTCCGATTCTTACACAGAATATCTTCAGTTTTCTCTTTTCCCGATATCATCTCCTCCAGCTGTAAGTCTAAAGATAGTTTTGTTACCAACACATTATGCGGTCCATTCAAACATACTTCTGCAAATCTCCGACAGCGATTTACTGTAAAACTCCGAAGAAAACGACAGCAATTTAGTTTCTCGCGCGTGATATCCTCGTAGCAAGTTTTAGAAATCTGGAACTTGCATATTATTCCACGAAGAATTTTGTTCAACGGCTCGTGACTGCACCCGAAATATTATCCTTGACCACGCACCAGCATACGATTGACCCTTCAGCAATAACCCAGCCTTACGCGCTGGCGCGAGGTCGACAGTCAGTGTAAAGATATTTTGCCACATCACGAACTCGTAAAATAATATGAACCTGTAATATTTGCAGTTTTATTACGTGTGCGTAATGCCTTGAAAGAGTGGACTATTTATGATAAAACCTTGGAAGATGGAACGCAGACAACTTTTGTGAAAGAAAGGAGATTGGAATATTTTGTCGAAGCCAGAGAGGCGGCCGTATGGTAAGTTTTTTCATTTAAATGTAACTCACAAATTCAAGTCCATGGTTTGAATAGAAGGTAACATCGAAACGAAAAAAGTATTTCTGCTTACTCGACGAGAGCTCAGGAAGAGGCTGAATCTCCTCAACCACGTCCTGTCTTTAAAACTCATTGTTTTATTTGTGGAGGAGGAACCACGAGACTTCGCGAAGGAAAAAAATGGAACGAGTCCACTCAAAACAAAATCTAGAATACACTGCGAGAAAATTAACTGTTAGAGAACTGTTTCTCATAACTCATGAGAAATCGTGATGATGATTTTGGACGTTCTGTAGTACATTAGGTAGAGGTAGTAAACGAATCGTTAGCTGCTGATGCACATGATTATTAAAATGTATATGGAAGCACTGCATCAGCCTCCAAAGAAGACAGAAACAAAAATCATAGTCAGGCCCTGCACAAATGTTGTAGAATCAGCGACGCAAACTACTTTTAGTTTTCTTGAAAACGTGACGGGGAATACAAATTTAGTTGTGGTCGTGCGACATCGGTCGCCATCATGCGACATCTAGCGGCACGACCGAGAAAGACGCGAAAGAGTGACATGCCACCGTAAATAGGGCCTTGATAAGCAGTTATAAAAATCGCACTGTAGCTATATGTCGCACTATAGCAGTATCGAAATTCCTCCCCCTGTCGGGACTCGAGCCCAAGAACCCACTGCAGTCTCATCAATCGATGCTCTGCGTTACCGTGGCCGGTTGTCTACCGAAGAAACTGTCGAGGTCAACTTTGTTGGCCTTCACAATGACTCCTCTTTGGCAAACAGGGCGGGGCCTTGAGATCCATGGACAGAAACGCATTATTTTCGACAAAGGTTGCTAGGTACGGCAAACACCTGGAAGGGCATTCAGCATAGCGAGTAGTAAAACAAGTGTGATAAATGGTGACATATGAATTGAAAAGGATGGGAGAAATAAAAACTTGAGACATTTCTCTGCATTCCCGTTATGACTTGGACTGACGGGTGCACGTATTGGAAATTAATAAAATAGTGGAGATCCGCGTTTTCGGAATCTCTCAAACGTCACAAAATCGTCCCTTTTTCCTGCAGCATTTTATAACTTTCTCATATCACGTAATGGTACACGAGAAACCAAAATTATAATTAATGGACCGAGAGGGTAAGATTTTGTCTTGGGACATGAACAGATCAGCTAGGAAAAACCTTAGTTAAAAGAACAAAACTTATCAGATACATTTTGCTATAAGGATCAATAAGTTAATAATAGGATTTTGTAAGAGATGACGAACAATATAAACAAATAAAGACCCTATTGGGAACAAATAAGCAGACACGAAAAGAAACTGCAGATTAAAGAATAAAACTACAGACAATTCAGGTCTGTACTGAAACTTTCAGAAGAAATAAATGTGAGAGAAGTGTTCATTAATATATTTGAAGCTTGAGGAAGAATCACAAGGGTATTATAGACGTAATATATGTCCAGACGAAATTGGGCGACTTTGAAAATGAATAATATACGATTGCATGGCTTACCAGCCTAAAACCGTACATTAAGTAAAAAGGGAATTAAAAAAAAAAAGTTTTAAGATATGAAAGCTACACTAAAAGAAATATCTAAAATATAGCGTCTTCCATCTAAAAAAATATACACACATTATTGTAATCCCAAGAATGAAAATAGGCATGTCATGACTCAAATCCTGATTGAAAACTTGACACCAGGAAAATGAGATGGCTTATCCGTATATCCTGGATACAGGTAGGTCTATGGTAATGAAGATAAATTACAAGCTTCAATTTTTATCTCAGAGATATACCTGTAATAAATACACACTTAAAGACAAAGATCTTTATTGGACAAGTGAGATATTTTACTTTACAAGACAAATCACAAAACACAACTTCGATATAATTTTAAGCTACAGCAGCATCGTTTTTTTCCTTTGCTTAAGATTCAAATAATATGAAAGAAATGTTTCTACTACAATATGCATATCTCCCCCACCGACATGTAATCTTGCTTTATAAAAGCAGCAGTATTAAAAGTCTTCTGTAAATAAATTTTAACAAGCAACATAATTTCATGATATATTCTATTAAGAGAATGGATTTAGCTTTGGTAGCCTTGTCTCATGCTTTGATCCTGGAATGGAGGGACAGAGCCTTGGGTACACAGGAGTGGAAACACTTTTCAGAAAAATAACAGCTCTTCCTTCATTCCGGGAGACTTTCACAAGCTGCGCAATGGTGCATGAAAAGTAAAAAGCTACCAAGGCTTTCATAGCTCATACAACATGCACAAGGAAAGTCTTGACATATGACATCATTATGCCCTATAAATGCAATGAATGGGCAGCAGAATCAAGTAAATTAGAAAATGTACATAATAATCAAATGACAATAGAGGAAATTAAGTTCCCGACATACAATTTTAATTAAAATTGACGTATTATAATGAAAACATTCCTCTCACTGCTTGACTGTGCATTTGAAAATCAATTTAGTAAGATATTCAATTACATTTTCCCTCTTGCAAGTGAAAATAGTTTGCTTAGAACAGCCCTGAGCCCTTAGTAACCAGAAATTTTAACAATGATGGTGAACTTCCTGGTTGTATGGCTGTTCTAGACAAGAACCATGATAACTCTAAGAGGCACTGAATATCTTCTCAGCCTCTGCTGTAACATTGAAGAGGCAACAGGAGTAACAGAACATGTACAAGTGAACATATTATAAGGAAAAAAAAAAGTTTTGAATATGCCGGCTGGTGTGTACTTGCAATATTTATTACTCTCAGCTCAGTTCTAACTTTAACACACAATGAAGTAAATATGTGTAATTACTCTGAAAACTGTTCCCCACCCTCCATCCCAAAAGAGGGACAAGATACACACAACAAATCCAAAAGAGTTGCTGAGCTGTGAAAATATCAAAAGTTTAAAAAGATTCTAGCTTAGTTTCTTTCTAGAACAGTACATATTATTTTTGTCCTAACTGGAATATACATTTAATTCCATGTGATGTGTAAAGTCAATGCAGTTCATTGAATTGGAGTTTGTTTACAAAAGCTATCCAATGTACTCTTTTTTCTTTGATATAAACTCCCAATAGAAACTATTGTAAATACAATAAACTATAAATTTATGGTATTCTCAAGGGACTTCTCTGCATGGTCCATAGAATTCCAGAGTTCCTATGAAAATACTGCCAAAGAGCACTGCCTGATGGGAATATTCAAAAAGAGAATCCAGAATGCACAGTGCCTTAGCAGCCCATAGGCTGCAATAGACACCTTCAAGATGTCACATTCAATGATGGATTTTTAATTCTGCATTGATTTCATTTTTGGCTAAAAAACACCCAAAGATCAAAATGTCATGTATAATTTAATTTCAGATACATGGGCACTTCAGTGTTAAACTGACAATTCCTTCTCTATCTACGTTCACAACCACAGAATACTTTAGCCTCTTTATATGTCAAAGTTACAAGACACTCACTGTGCCAACAGAATACATATTGTTTCCACTTCCTATGGTTAATCACTAGATACTTCCAAGTAAAATAATTTTTATTATTTTTAATATTATCAATACTGCAATATAACATAAACACTGATGTACTGTCTTAGCTTAATACACCACATGGCCACAAATTCTCTAGATATTTTGGAAATTAAATGCAAGCACAATTCCTTCTGACAGGCCAATAAATATTCAACAAACAACTGGGTTTATATCATATTAATGAGGATACTTAATCACATTGTAAGCCACCAATAGTTTTTGACATGATTTAAGTGATGGTAACAGCAGGATATAAAGCTAGTAAGTAATCAGTTCTCTTTCATTACACACACATATCAGATACAGATGCATGGTCAAGAATACTTTATATTCCCTAAAGTATGAATCATACAAAGTTCTCAAAATTCAGTTTTTTATGTCAACTGCATACTTTACTTCCCCCCATATTTAATGAAAATGATACATGTTCAAGCATGCATACATCCACTCTAATTGCTACCCTTCCACACAAGGTAATACATCTTACACACAAAATTGTTATGCGCTTGAATACAAGCTACACACTCCAGTTTAAAGACAATGGCTGACAACATATTTTAAATGAATATTTAATCAAACATATAATTCTATGATTTTTGGAGATAAGGGACATGGAGCAGCTTTGATTCATAACAATTTTCTGAAGAACTGTCCACTACCACTTTTGCATCATTACTTCTTTAAACATACAATGATTGAATTCCATATAGGTTCAAGTTTCAGGACATGAGAAATAGAAATTTTGCTAATGCAGGTAAGCTTGCACATTCTAGGTTCTCTCAATTTCTATGTTATATTAACAAGGTGACACAACAAACAAGTTAATGCAATCATATTAATTTTTACATCACAAATGATGCTCATTACATTGCACTCCACTATACACAGCATACTATTACAAGGGGGTTTATCTAAGCAAATCAAGATATCTACTGTTCAACTTGCACACTTTATATTTCTTTTCAAGAATTTAAACACAAATATCGATTTGGGGATATGGATACAAAATAAACATAAATAATTTTTAAAAATTTTTGTTATATATACTTTCTTACAGTAAGGATATTGCAAATGTTCATTGCACAACATAATCTGATTTAGCTTTTTGTCATTGTCTATTAGCAAGTCAGCCACATCTGCAGTATTTAACTGCTTTAGGAAAAGTGTAGCCATGTTTTCAATGAAGCATGGCAGCCAGCAGGTGACATACATAAATTAAAAGAAAAATCAATTACAAAGTAACAGAAGGGCTATGTGAATGAGTGGAGCACGCAAGCTCAATTAATGTAGTGTCACTGGATCTATTAGTTTCTCATGTGGTCCCTATAATGCATCACACACACACGCACGCACACACTTGAAACAAACCCTACAGAACATTTAATGCAATATACAAAAACAAAGCAAATCCATTACTGTATAAGAAGAATGGGTCATATGCTTATAAATCAGATGCATTCACTATAAATATTCGGCTATAGAAGTACACTAAAAAAATACATCAGCAATTCCTGAACTCTAAAATATTTCATGTACAAATACATGTCACAGAATAGAACTTTCTAAGACTTTGAAGAGGTACAAAGGCAGGTGCAAGCTTTTATTTCCAGATTTAAGATTTTCTGCCTTTAAACCAAATTTAACACACATTAAAAGGGAAAAATTCTTATGAGTTCTAGGGTATTTCTGAATGCACTCATCCACTTTCTAAGAGGACATCCCATAAAAATCTTGCATCTGTATTTCAAAGTTTGTAGATAGAATAATTCAGTTCTGGGTCAGTAGCTTAACAACTTTTAATTTTTAGTTCGCAGAGTTCATAAACAATTAGAGCACAATAGCACACCTCTTGTAAATACATATTTCACACCAAGTACCTAAGCTTCTGTATCTATATAATGTGCACATTTATCTAGTAAGTTCTATTTTATCAAACTTATAAATGAAAGAAACTGTATGACAGGGAAATAACCCTGTATTTGGTTATCAACCTCATTTACTTAGAGAATAGGAAACAGCATTGGCAGTGTTATCTTGTCAGGAGAAAACTATCACACAAATAAAAAACGCCAGCTTGTCCCTTTTTAATATTATTTTTTTCCACCATATACACAAGTAAAATGAACAATACTAATAAAATTTTGCACTAATCATTTATGAACACTTAGAGAATAATACAATGTTTTATTTTAAACACATTTCAGTTTTAATGACATGTATATGTACAATTACAAATTATATATACAATACATAAATATCAAATAATTCATTTGGAACATTAATAATCAGCGTATTTATATAAACTAGAGGAGTAAAGCATCATACGTAGATAACATAAGAAAAGGAGGAATAATAGAAAAATGATACTGCTTGGGCACATCTCATCCACCCACATGAATCAACATGTCACACTAAAATCCTCTGAGGTATTAGCACTCCATTTCGTAATATGTTCCAATACGTATGGAAACATTAGCACAACTACACACTCCAGAAGTTTTGGCAGAAAATTTCCCTAATACAAACCCACTGACTAGAGTGCAAACAATTACAACACTACATATTAGTAATAACAAGGAAACAAATGAAATTTAAAGAATACATGTCCTATAATTCAATTATATGTGGTTTCAAGGCCTGTAACTGAATTCCATGAATACTCCATAACATATACTACACTAGGTAGTTTGCACTTGCAGCATTTTTATCTGGTATTGAAACAGTTCAAAGATTAATGATTAATTACAGCACTGACACAAGCTTAGCATTTGTTTTAATAAAATGCCACTTCCATACTGAAGCTTACAGTTCGAACATTCATACCATTCCTCCTCTCCCAATTACCTGCAACATGCTTCCATCCTTAATTTTTTGACTTTTCCCCTCCTCCCTTTCCCTTTTTAAATGACAGGCTGTTAAACTTTTACAAAATCATCTCTGGTGAAATTGTACCGCAATGGCAGTGTTGTGTTTGCTAGCTGGACTTTTTAAGACATTGGGGTCAAATCCCACCATTGATGAAATTTATTCAACACCACCTTTAAACGTCTAACAGTTTTCAAAAGAATAAATGAAGTGTTTTGTGCGAATGTCCAGATCAAAGCACTCAATTTTCTGTGCTAATGGCCTCCACACAAAATGCTGCTCCTCTTTTCAATTAAATGAAGACTCCCCTACAAGCAAAATGCTTTGTCACAAAATATTTTGAAGCACAGAGTGCAAAACTAAACTGTTAGAACAGCCTCCTAGCAATTATTTCAACATAAAAAGCTGGTCCAGTACCCTAATTTTCAATTGTGTGTGCATGTACTGTCAGTCATTATCAAGAGTGAAAGTTGCCCACTGTCTTTGCAAAACAATTCCAAGCCTCCAATCCACAGGCAACACAGAATTCCACCTCTGTACACCAAACAGAATCCATAGAGACATGTTCGAAGGTACACAATGCATAATATGAAACGTTCTTTAGATTAACATGTTCTGATAAAGTTTGCAATTTTCCTTAGTTCTAATTCTATCATATAATCACAGTTTCATGCCCCTACAAGAAAGCTTTTAAGCAGAATGAAACAAAATAGCAATTCTCTTTGACAGTTTCAATAGCTGCTACATTATTAATAATGCTTCAACCACCGTTTTCAACAGGAGCAGTCTACCTATGGTTACTAGATGGTGCCTTGTTAACAATCCAATCAAAGAATTGTTCAAATGCTGAGAAAAGTTTTTGAATAAGAGGCCATTTAAAATTTCCCCCGAAAATAAAGTAGATTCCTTGGAAGAGCATTCACTGAACCAGCTGAGAAGAAACAATTCCTGCCAGTTCATGGAATTGGTAGAGAAAGTACTGAATATGCTATCTAAAGCAAGCAGCATTGAAAAAGCTCTTGGGAGTAAGGCAAGCAAGCACCTACTTGCATTATGTCAGCAGAGTCAAAATAATCACATGCAATGAAAAAAGCATATTTCAGAATTAACTACAGCACTAAGAAATGTAATTATTTCTATTATTACAATTTCAGCATTTCAATTGTAGAAAGTCTGATTCACAACTACAAGAACATGCGTTGTTCCTTCCACAATAGCTCAACTCCCAGCTTTCATGGGTCAAACAGGATGATCCATGGAGCCACATACACTGCCACAGCTTCTGAATTTCCCAAGAACATCACTCAACCAAAAACAAGTCAGACAATGCCAGAAGAAAAGACTCATCAATACTCAAACAGCTGAGTTGGGTAAAATAACTACAACCATCCAGGGACTCGAACCTAGGATAATTTCTTTTTTTTAAACTTTCTAACGAAATCCATGCGTCAAACATTAAAAACTGTTCTGAATATAGAACACATTTAATTGAGAAACAAAATTTTAAATGTTTCATTGAATCTCACTACAGTAAATTTGTTGGAAATATAGCTTTAATCATTAACGCACAAACTGTTCCCTAAAAATTGAAGCTCAACAGGGAACAAAAAGTTGCCTAATTTCAAGACACCATCATTTTGGGCAGAAACAAAGTTTAAACACCACATGAAATTCACAGATTTCAATAAAAATTCAATCTTGCGAAACACAGGTTAAGGACTAAGCACACTAATCACGAAACTACCACACACATCATCACTGGACCAATTAACTCACACAAATGTATATGATCACAATGTTAAGACAATTTGAGCATAAACATCGTGATTTTTTTTAAATTTTTAATTTTATGACAGGTGATTTAAAATATCCAAACTTCAGTTCGGAACAATGCAGGGGAGGGAGAGGAAGCCAGCTCCAGACCAAAACCTGCCGTATGTACATATCATACATGGACCTCATAGTTCAACTACATTTTGGAACATGGCTCCAGAATTTTAATTGTTTGGAGGCTACCAAAGAGAAGGTCAAATACCTGTTACTGACAGAAAATTATCACATGGATACAAAAAACTACTACTACTGATTATACAATAACATGTTTCACTGAGTCTGTATCAAGTTAAGTGCTGACCGAAGCAATATTCTTAAATATATATTTTTAATTTTACACAACTGTACATGTCCACAACTAGAAAATTGGCATGTGTATTTTACCAATCGACAAGATAGCTCTTTACGGAAAACAATACTCGATAAACTACTTGCTTTTGCTGCTAACAGAGTATTATCTGTTGCATCATGAAATACACAGCAACACACAATTCATTCATGAATACACACATTTATATATTTATATATATGTATATATAAAAAAAAATAATAAACACATTCTAATGAGGCATTTTAGTCATTTGTACAGATGAAATCAATTCAAGCTCTTCTAACATGTTGAATGGGGAGGGAGTAATTAGGCATATAAATGAGAATTGAAAATCTTCACTAGAACAGCAGATATTACTTCAACAGGCTCAGTATATATGTATGTGGCATGTTCTGCTTGCTTTCTTTGGTTTCAATTTGTGCGGTTCGAGTCCCTGGTTCTTGATTTCATTGTGAACATAACCACACTTGTTCCATGTACATATCAAATGGGCCTACTCAAGCAATACATAAAAGTCAGCCTTGAGTATGACAAATTCACTTAGTGAAATTATACCATTCCTATATCACGTTCAATATCAATGCAGAGAAACCATACAGTCGAATTCTTATTTCAAGATACTCTGCTAACAGTATTACATATAAGTGATTGCAAGCCCAGATACCTTCACATTTTCCCATTTTAAATTATACCATATTCCTAAAATTATCTTTTATATTATTCCATTTGTATAAATGACATGCATGCATTCTCTATCCTGATCACCTGCCACACATGCGCGCATGCACACACACACACATACACACACATTCACAAAGACTACAGTCAAAACAAAAATGTAATAAAAAAACGCATGTGTAAATTCTATCCATCTCGGCACAGGGATACATTGAAGATAACTCCCTTCCATTTTGTTCTTTTCTTGCAAAGACAGTTTCTCCCATACTTAATCAGTGTCGATAAAATAAAAAAAGATTTAAAAAAAGAAGAAAAAAAACTGATGTATTCGACACTGCTTGGTGATTTTTGGTTGGGTTTCTGGTATTATATCTTGTTTATCATGGTTAATTCCAGATTCGAAGGAAACTGTCCCACGAGCCAGTTGCTACAGCCATACCATCTTCTGTGACGCCCAAACAACTCACTCTGTTGTCATGACCAGCCAAAATGCCTGAAACACATTCACATTACATTTAAGAATGTTAAACACACAAGAATAAATATAGTATATCAGGTAAGAACAGAAGCTATGATTTAAATTCATAATAGCTATTAGAGATTTTTTCAATTGAACTTGCCTGCACGTTCCGTCTTCATTGAGTCCCACACATTGCAGTTAAAATCATCATAACCAGCCAACAACAAGCGACCAGATTTAGAAAATGCAACTGATGTGATGCCACAGATAATGTTGTCATGAGAGTACATAGCTAACTCTTGGTCAGCTCTAATATCAAACAGGCGGCAGGTAGCATCATCACTTCCAGTAGCAAATGCAAACCCATTGGGGAAAAACTGAAAAGAAGAAAAATAAAATAAACAACACACAAAAGTATTTCTTCCCATGAATTTGATAAATCATTCTCATTACCTTCAAGAAAATGCATTAATTGAAAAAACTTTTCTATCAAATTGAAAAGCAAAAAAATACTGAAAAATTGGTAACTCCAACTCATTTCGATGAACACACACTTTGCAGCAACTGACTGTTGGATTTCTCAAGATAGAAGGAAGTTTTTTCAATTACAATTACTCAAATACATTGAAATGTCATAACAAATAATCAATGATAATATAACAAATTTTTTTTTCAAAAAGTTATTTTCAAGTGTCATCTATTTACCTATTACTCTATTACATCTCAAATCTCTCAACAAACTTCAAAACATTCAGTATAACAAATAAAATTCACCTTTTTGCCTAGGTATTATAAACCTTGTTTAATTTATTTACCTTATATATTAAAATATAATAATTATTAGTTCTGTCTTGCAATAAATATTTTGTTGCATTAGTAATTTGATCGTATTCTGTAATGTTTTGGAATTATTACTCACTACAAACCATTCGGCTAAATACGTTGAACATGCAACACTTTGTATCTGTGTGTACTTCCATAATGTAGATTTCTGCAAGTTAATTAATCAGAGGCAACAGCAACAATTCTGATTTTGAAGAACAATTTTAGGGTGACAATGTATTTTCACTCCTAACGTGATACTTAGGGAAAATCTAATATTCAGGTAAATGTGTTCATTAAGCCATGCATTTAGAATTATTTCAATACAGATCACTGCATTTATTTAATGAATATATTCCTGCTTGAATAGATTATAGTCTGGGAAATATTTTAACAGTTGCCATAATATAAATGCAATGAATATATTACAATAAAATCATAGTGAAACAATGTGTATAAATGTATAGGAAGTAATTGAAATAAATAATATGGAAATAAAGCAATGTGTGCAAATGTGAACATGCATTAACTGGAAAGCGAAGGACCCTATCCTTTGACAAAGAGGCTGTAATTTAACATTTTTATTTTCCACTCACAAACAATAAAAGCAGCATTATGACAATGAGTAACAAATTTTCTTACTGACTAGAAAACTATCTGGATGAAAACTCATTTTGATTGTGCAATCATTATTTTCTTCATTTTCGTTTCTACGGTCTTAATTTTCTGTAGATTCATTTTTTTCCCATTTCTAGGCCTCTTCCCATACTAGGTTGTCTTCAGTCTCTCTCTACATGATTCAAACATTGAATTTGCATTCTTTCCCTTTTTCTTTTCCCTCATCTGACAACATAAGTTTGCCTGCTGCGATTCAAGAGTTCCTTTCTACCATGATGTTTGGTGGCCTCTACTTCATTAAGAACAATCAATTTGAAATCTGTTTCATTTAATGCTCAAGCGGTCAGATTGTGAGGAGGAAATTCTTAGATCCTCAACCCCAACAAAATTTCATCATAATCTTCATGTTGTGTTTCTCTTATTAGAATGCCATTAAGATCCAGATGCTCTTAACCAGCACGTTGAGAAATATTGGCCAAAACTGAACCACATCAGCAAACATAATTACTATTATACAGAATGATCTGAAACAAAAGTAATGTCTGGCACAGAAAGGACCAAAGTTTTAATAGGTAATTAAAGCCAATTTCGATTAACTGTCCTATCTAAATAACAAGGCTCTCTAATCTTCCTGTAGCTCCTAGTCTTCAGATTACATACAAGAACTGTAGCAGTAAGCAAATTCTGTCCACTTGATTCCTGAAAGTCCTTCTATTAATCTGGGAATTCTATCATTGCTTTGCTTCTTCACTTAAAAAGAAGTGTTTTTTATCAAAATGAAGTTTCTCAAGAGGGTGATATTTTTATTTAATACAGATATTTATAAATATAACACGAAGTAGCGATCACATTCATCTGGTTTCAGTATGAACAACTGCAAAAAATTCAAATACAACACTTTCATAATTTTTTACCACGTATTGCCAGATGACCTTAAAACAATGAAAATCATAAAAGTTTAAATCTTTTCAGCTGCATACCTAATTCTATAAAGACTATACTGACCATCAAAAATAATTAGTTTAAAATAGAATTAATGCACCAGATACCATTGTACTGTAATTCTAAAAGACTAAATATGTCTACCAAGATGTACTTCAGCTTTTGGGTCAATGGCACCCTTCATCATAAATGCATAAATCCACACATTTGGGGAGCAGCGAATGTGTTCGGTGAAAGATCACTTCCCTTTTATCCAGAAGACCTGATGTGGTGGGTAGGGCGAGGACCAAATGTTCATTACTCTGCAAATAGCAAGTAACTCGTTCACACTACTTGGGATTCGATTGAGCGGTTGCTCGCTACTTGCTGAACAACTAATGTGTAGAACCGCCTTTAGGTCCATACAGCATTCTTTGAATATCAAGGTTAACCAGAACAGGCTGGAAAATTAGAAGCTGCTATCTTTGGACGAATTTTTTGCCCTTGATAAAATATTTTGAGCAATACTCCAGCAGAAGGATTTGTCATTGTACATTTAAGTGACCCACTTTTGGATCTTTGATTACCTTTTTTAACATGATAATAACTCACATTAATTTTCACATTATATTTCATTTGACACAACGTCATTCATTTGAGATTCTCTCTTAACTGGCCATTCAAAACTATTGGACTGAATTGCCCTGAAAATTCACAGAGATGCCACGAATACAAGTGAGATTGTAGGTACATGCAATATCTTTAGTCTTTGCAGTTTATTGTTACGTTCACATTTACAAGTAATGTGACACGGAATGGCAATGTTAAAACAAAGTCCTAGCAGACTAGGCATAATCTGCGAACATATTACAACCCCGCATTTTTCGATCGAGATCATGAATTTACTGTCCATGCTTTTTCACATAAAGTGGATTTGATTTTTCCGCAGACATCACAGAAATACAAAAAACAAATTGAGCACTATTTTTCGGACTGCCTCAGCTGGCGTCCGGATTGGTCAAATGGTGTTAGACATTATTTGTGCTGGCTCTCACTTCCAAAACAACAGTAGTTCATAATTCTGCAGACTGTAAATGTACAATGAGTGAATAATAGAAATTATTAATGTTCATAAATTCATAAATGTTGACTAACTTGCACCTGAGTTTTTTTACTCCCCATTGTTTCTGTTATTAAGCCAACTGATTAAGATTTGAATGAAATCAATGAAATTATGCAACTAGAATGCAAGAAAAGTACACTTCAAAACCGCCTTTTCTAAGAAAAATGATTTATATGCTTATGGTTTTGATTAAACTTTAGTAAATTGTGAGTTTTTTTTAAAAGCATAATAAAGGAAACAACATGGGTTTAAACAAATTAGGTGTTTATGCCAATAAGGTTTATTACATTGGATAATCACATGCATACGTATTCTTGATTGCTTTCCGACACCATTTAAATCAATTCTTACATGGGGAGGGAGAGGGGCAGACAGACTTGTCAGAACAATGGAAATAATTCATTAAAAACTGCATTCACTGAATAGACACTTTTGAGGTATTAAACAGCTGAAGCGCTCTCTTTTCATCTGGCACATTTCAAAGACTGATGTGATGTTCGGTGATACTTTTCTATTTTAAAAGCCGGGAAAAAAATAAACTGGCCAGCATTACACACTTCAGAATAGGCCGAGTGGTATGCTACAAATATTAAAATTCCTTGCGTTCTCTTCTCAAAGAGTGTGTCCAAAATTTTGAAACATTGCTAATTAGCAAGTTTTTTTTTTTTTACTGAATAAATCATATCAAGTATAAATTAATTTTTTATGTTTCACAGGTCTTAATTGTTTGATGTCCCCCCTCCCAAGTTTATCACAGTAAATAGAATTAATAATGTACAGCAGCTTGTGGCTGGGAAACTTCCTGCAAATATGTAGCTGTATTTTCAGCCCACTCCATGCAATATTCACTTCCAAAAGAGGTAAAAGTCACTTCAAAAAATGTCAACCACTTGAAAATCAAAATTTTGATTTTTTTTCTAAAGTTTAATGGAATTTGAAAGTAGCAAAACCCAGGAACAGATTTATCAACTTTTAGTATATTCCATAGCGTGCTTTGAAAATCACAAATACTTTATTAACCTTTTAGTAACTATAGAAATCACTGTGCAGCTAACTGCAATTCCAGTGTTAAAGATATTTTGAATTCAACAGGCACATATGGGTGCACAACATTTGTTAGTACATGGTAATGCGAGATTCTGGTAGACTAGTTTACATCTGCAAAACTTTGTTATTTCTCACTCATGGAGGCCTTGACACATGCCTCAGAAAACTATTGTTAGAAAAGGGTCTCCAGAAGAGAAGCAAGCAATTAATACAAATGCCACAATGACACTTTACACAATACAGCGCACCGTGTCTTCAGTTAATAACACTGAAAGCACACCTACACTTGTTACCTTCTTCCCATTTGTAAAGGTATGCATGTTACGTCAGGAAACAAACAAGAAGTGTCATTTCCAGATAGAAAGCATGAAATCTTGGCTTTTTTATCAATGACTTGCACTTCATATGCAAGAACTAGAAAAAGGGGAAAAATAGAGATATTTCGAGATTAAAAGATAAGCGATAGTGATGGTGATAAGTGAAATATTAATTTGCAATTTGCGATGAAATTTTGATAGAATCTACCCACAACTTGCACAGACTTGTTCAATTATTGTAATTTAATTGAAAAGCATTTATAAGAACTAAATTGTGCCAGAAAGTTTGATTGTTTTAATAGAAGCACATACCAATTGTTAATATGCTGAAATATTACTGTATTTACTCGAATACATGACCTAATTTTCAAGAAGGCTCCAGAGATGTTTTTCACCCCCTCCCTTCTTAATATTCAATCAAAATAACATTGCAAATTTTCTTTTTGATGAAAAGGTTAAATCTTTATGCCTGAGCCATCACCTTTTCTTTCTCCTTATAATCATAATCTGGGATGTGTTTGATGTTTACATCTATCTGTCCCCCCCCCCCCGACCTCCTTCCATACTCTAGTCAACCTCTGATTTTTCATCCCCTTGAAAGTTTTGCATGTTGAATTTACGTTCTTGATCTTTCATCTGATGCCATCTTAGATCATTCCTTTCTGTGCCACCTGATTTTCTTCTTAACATGCACTTCTTTGATGAGCTTGCTTCTTCAACAAAGCAATGATGTTTGATCATTTTCCAACCGCATTTCTCCGCATTTCCAACCGCATTTCAAGTTCCAGGTCATTCGTTGGAGATTCTATCTGTACATGACCTGTTCATAAATATTTGGAAACCCGGTAAAATCCACACTGGATGTCAAAAATACATCTTTGAATGAGATTATAGATATGGATGATTATTACAGTCTTTGCAACTTTATTCTTACTTTGGCATTTGAGTTTCTTGTTGTGGAAAGAAAGTAAAAACACAAGATGCCAATAGTGTAGACGCAATCTGAATTTTAGTTGACCTGGTATTTCATGAATGAGATGTTTAGGAAAAAAACCAAAACAATGCAAGTCATATTTTCAGGTAAAGATTACCCTAGTTTAACTGGTGCGGTAAAAGCCAATGAAAAGCAACAAATTGGATGATAGGGTAATCCATTTTTATAAATTTGATTTTGTACATAGTATGATAGGCATTTTGAATATTTTACTGTACAATAAACTGGCCGTGAGGTTCTATGCTATCATCTCTAAAGCATGTTTTAGCATTTGATGTAGATTGTGTGCCTGCAATGTACCTCTGCCCATTGTTATCCCTAGCTGTGATTAAAAATCCACAGAGGTTAAATGAATTTGTTGATTGAAAAAAAGTCTGTTCTACATGGAGAATAGAAACAAACTTTGTATCTAAAAGTTATAAACACTATTTTGTTTGTGTTGGCACAATGAAGAAACAACCAAACAATATGACTAAATAAGAGAAACATGACTTTACTTGCAGCACTCCTCATTTCCCGCCTGAGAATTGGGAATCCAGCATACGTGAATAGAAGAGCCCTAATTTTGAAGATGTCTTTTGAGAATTTTTCCTTCCCCATTTGTAACTATTTCTTACTAGTCAGTTAACATAAAATCTCAAATTGTTCTACCGACTAGAATATTGTCTTGATGAGCTAATCCACATTCCAGAATGAAGTCGTAGGCTTCCGCGACCAGAGTCATGTGGGTGATCTGGGCTGTCCGGATGACGCCGCGTCGAACCCAGCTCTGAGGAAGACCACGACAGGATGGTCGAAATGTCGGCAACTCAGCCTTCGACGCGGCGTCACCCGGACAGCCCAGATCACCCACACGTTCCAGAATCTTCTTGAAAATTTTATTGTTGCAAGCACAGCCACGCTCCATGGTATTTCATTTAAGATTGTTATCACGGGCGCAATGGCTGGTCTTTCGTGACAACTTCCTGTCGTGATCGTTCATCTTATTATTTAAGATACAAAAGCTGTTGCAACATGCCACTCTCAATTAACAGTATAATAACAAGTGCGTAAATATTGGCGTTACGAGTTCAGGGCTTATTCTTGTGAGCACTCTGGAATACAAAAGAATAGGTTAGGGCCCTCGACCCCTTGTTCGGAAACTGTTTTGGCCACTCACAGACTACCTCAGAGCAGCTGACTGAACCAACCTGGGCCACTCTCTCATCATCTTCAAGGTGATGCCACACCGTAAGGGAAAACAATTGCGAAGAAAAGTTGGTGATGTGTATGTTAACAAGCTCCTCAAGATTCCTAATTCAAAAGAAAGAACTTTAGCCAAGGGAAAAATGTTTAGAAATTAAATACTGCTAATTGCAAAGCTGTGCCTTGGCTTGTTGTATTTTAAAATTATCACTGTTTGTAATTTTTCTTTGACTTTGAACTCAACTAAATTTAACTCTTATTAACAAATTACCTTCCTTTTTGACCAGTAAGATTTTGAGTGGTGTGTTTGTTTATATATATATATATATATATATATATATATATATATATATATATATATATATATATATATATATAAAAATGCATAAATGTATGAATCATGAAATTGGTGAGGGCAAATTGATATTCTAGATGGGGGCAATATAGAAATTCAAATTACAGTACACTTGCAAAGGAGTAATGAAGTCAATACAGGCAAAACATCATGATGAACACCATGCCAACACCCTTCAGGAAAATAATTATTCTGTAGTTTCCTGTAATGCAATGATAGAATCTTGCTTCTTTCCAGACATTTCATTCTCATGAGGTTACACATGAATAACAATCTTAACATAGTTTAAGACATCCTCACTGCAGGGGCATATTAATATGGGCATTGTATGCAAGTGCATTCCTAAAACATGAACTTCAAGGCTAATTGTTATTCAAACAGAAAAATGTTGATACTCACAGTAACTGCATTGATGTCCGACTCATGGCCAGGGAATGTCTGTTTGCAAGACCCCTCCCTGATGTCCCATAACTGCAAAAGAACAGAAGCAAGTTAAAACAAGTCCAAGTAAGTAGTCCAATTAATTGAGACGCAGCTCATCCCGGATAGCCAAGAATACAAGTTAATACTCTACAAAAATTATAATGTACACAGAATACAATAAATTAAGCTGAAGTGTTTTTAAATTTGTCAGCAAGTAAACACACACAGACTTAAAATGCACTGTGTTCTAAAACTTCAGAAAATAAAAATTTGTATACTACATTTTGCAAATAGATACAGAAGTTCACTTTCTTCACTTTGCTATTGTTACAACTAAACCACCCAAAACCTGAACTTTTCAATTCCACAGTTGCTGTGAATGATCACATGGGTAGCAATGAATAGTAGCTCCCAGTAAACTCTAAAGATAGCAATACTTTCTGGTTGAGTAAGAATAGTCATCACTGCCTCCATGTTGCATTTCACCTACCTCCGGTTTTAACAGAGGCTTTCTTGAACTACGTCAATCAATGACCAAATCTGACACTTGCCAGAGGCTTGTAAATTCAGAAGAAATTCACAATCATAGATAAGAAGATTCCCTAAGAAGTAAACAGTTTTTTCAAACAAAAGTGAAACTAATTAGAAGAGCCTGTTGTTTATGACCTAAAAATGTTAGAAAGATGCAAGCATTTATGATGTTTAAAATACGAAAATATGACAAACATTTTTTGAAACCTTCAAAATCTTTTCACTGTTAAGTAACCATTATATTGAAAATATACATTTGAAATCTACCACATTCACAATTCACCTCTTCTGATTTGGTGCTCAGTGAACACAGTTCAACTTGCTAAAGGTATTCAGAGGCGGTTGACCTTGGCCTAGTAATTTACTACATATTGGATAAGGATTTATCCACTTTCCTGTATCCATGAGTTATTCTGTCCAAAAATCGCCCTTTTTGCCGCAGCATTACAGAACTTCTTTGCATTAGGTATAATACATATGTATACGAGACAGTAAAAAATACAATAAATAAGTTTTGAAAGAAGATGGGAACTCTTCATATCAAGCTGTAAATTGCGGGAAGAGGATACATTGTCCGTATAGGCTTTTGGACAGGAGCAAGGAAAAATTACGTAAAAGGCAGAAAACCATAAAATGCGGGAAAGTAAAAAGGGCAGTTTACTGTATATATTTAAAGGAAAGACAGATAATTGGATACAATAATTGTAAGAAATTAGATAATAATTAGGAGACATGAAAAATCTCCCTGAGACAACTGCACAAAAATATACAAAAATGGAACCAAAAGGACAAAAAACACTAAAATTATTTAAAAAATATGACCATAATACGAAAAATAAGCGAAAAATGACAAAAGGATTCAAAAAGCCAAAGTATGAAAAAATGACTGTATATGACATATGAAAATTGCATAATTTTACTCATTGTTGATAAAATCACACTTAACTTATATTTTCCATGGAAATAACAAAGAAAAAATATGACATTGCAAAATCATCTGGGTTCTACTAATTAGTGACTAAGACTGCTCTCAAGAATCAAATTACTCTGTACATGAGAAAACTGGGAACGTTCAACCTCACAGGAGCCTTTACAACACAAAAACAAACATGGTGAGACTAAATGAATAAATGACATGTATGTAGAGACAACACACCGACCACATGATCCAAAGCACACTGCAAATTGAAAATGCACAATGTAGTGGGCACCAACATTTTTGTTAACATTTCAGTTCCATTTAGTTTAGATAATGTATTAAATTGGTTACGTGAATTCTGAACACACTGGAGAAAAGAAAAAATGACATACATAAAAATAAAAAAAAATCCTGTAAAAAGATTGAAACGCAGAGAATAATGAAATAAAACATGAAAATCCAAAGGATCAATCAGTAACATTGCCACAGATGGAAGGTATTCTGAAGTAATAACATTTAACAAAAGAAGAGAATAGTATTGCAACAAAATTTCCCTCCCTAATGAAATCTATAATCACCAAATTTTATAAATTTAAAGTGAAATATTCTTTTAACTTTACTAAAATATATCTCCTCTTGCACCACCACCACGAATAATAACAATAACTCTAAAATAGCAATTATTTCAAAAGGGAAGCACCACCACAGACTCTTAAGGGTTTACCTTAGCAGAAGCATCACACGCTCCAGAAACGAACGTGCGCATGTCGGGTGACAGGGACAGGGACATCACATCACCAGTATGTCCAATGAAGGAGGTACACTGCTGCCCGGTCTCTATGTCCCACAAAGCACTGCAACACAAGACCGACAAAATGAGCAAGGAATTTTCAAGAATTTCTCCTTTACTTTGTATTGAGATCATTCATATAAAGGCCAGCTGTATATCGACCAATATCTAAATGGAAGCATTGCAAAGAGCAAACATCAAGACAGTCCAGAAGTCTCTCTCTTCCTTCAGAAGTACGCATACATACAATGAAATTAAACACTTACTGAAAGAAAAAAGGAAATTAAAAAAAAAAAGCGAAGTCAAGGAATTATTAAATATAAATTTATTTCAGCTGAACAAAATACTCTGAGGAATTAAGTCAACTGCATTAATTACATTTAAAAAACTCTACATTTAACAAGCATTATTAATTTTTATAAATTGAGAAAACTTCATTATTGATCCTTTATCATGTACGAATGCTTCCCCCCCCCCTTCACAAGCTTCTTGAGCATTTTCTTAAATCAGTAATCTGAAACTACAAAATAAATAACTGCAGGAGAATAAACAGAACTAAAAATTTTAGTAGTAAACACAGAAGTACAAGATCACTGTTTATCTTCGTAATATCCAAGTGTGTTTCATAACAATTTCTATTCTATTTATAGTAATTTCATGAAATATAAATAGAAAATTACAAATTCAAGAATTTACATAGAAAAATTTAACACCATTAATTAAAACAAAACATGAGCCTCTTAACATTTATCGTAGCAGATCAGTTTTATTGTACATTTTCAAAGGTTTTCTAGAAACATTGGTTACATCCCTTACACAAAATATATGTATCTTTAACAACGGGTGAAGTCCTACCCAACAAATAATTTGATATCTTATCTCAAAAAAACATTTAAAGATATTAGGAATCCTTCACTACAGCATTAATAAAACTACAAAATTAATCAACTAAGATATTGCAACCCATACCAATACTACAGTTACAATGATCAAATTCAAGTACTTTTGAGGATACTAATTTTTTGAAGAGAAAAATCCTTACAAAGAAAAACTACTGGTGATACAGAATGGCAGAATTCCTCTTGGTAAAGTTGTCTAATTTACTTGGTGTGTACTATCCAGTCTTGCCCTATCGTCTGTCTATGCCCGCCACCAACTATCACAGCCCAACTACATTTTTTTGAATTTACAAATTTTCTCAATTTCTCGGTTTCTTCTTCATAATTGACAATTTTCGTTTGACATAATTGACATTTGGAGCCGTTTGTAGGAAAACAGCATACATGCAAATGCAAATTTTGGAGCTCTTTTTCACAGAAGTTTTCGAAAAACTTCATTTGAAGTCATTTGAGGCACTGTAACTCTCAAATGCAATACAAATCGCTGGAAATGCGTATATATACATATTAACAGCATGAGTGATATTTGAAAACAAAAAGCATTTGTGTAATATTTGAAAAATCAAAAGAATACAGCAAAATTATCTTTCTGTCATTTTTAACAGTGCAATTAGCGCTATCCATGGGGAAAAGTTTCAAGAAAAAATTTCCATATATTTGAGAAAATCTGGTTTTGTTATTTGTTTAAAATCTCAAATATTGCACAAAAAATACTAGAAGTTTTAAATAACGACTTCAAAGAACAAACTAATTATGGACAACACATTTCCTTTGAAGGAAGAATCTCCATCTATAATTTTGTAGCTGTAGGAAGACGAAGAAGAAGAAGACGAAGACGAAGAAGAAGAAAAAAAAACCTGACCTAGACCACCATTATAAGTGTATTTTACTCTATTCTCACAAGAAATTTAAAGAAAAAAATTTGGAACAGTTTTTGAGGAAATTTTGATAATTTCTTGGGTCTTCCCTCAAAGTACCCCCAAATTTTTAAGAAAGTTTTCCAAAATCGCAGTACCTTGAGTTAGGACAAATCAACAAAGGTAAGAGCATTTGGGAAAATATCGTATGTATGGTTTAGGTGCTAGTGTTGTTCACAGACACTTTTGAAGATCAAAAGAGAGAAAGGGACAAAATCTCTCTCGCACACGCAAAACTAGTCTGATCTTAATTATCACATCAATTACTAATTATTGCCAATATGATAAATCAGGTCTTTAACAATGCATGATTGAAAGAGTAATTAATAATTTAACACTTAAAGTAGCCTTTTTCTTTTTGGACAAAATGCAAAATTTCCGAAAAAGTTTTAATTCTTAATATATCCAGGTACACATTTTGCGTAATGTTTTTACGTACCGTCAGGCGTGAACAAAATTCATATACACTTATCTCCAAACATGTCAAGATTGATCAAACAAATTTTAAAATAAGAAACCATATACTATAGGACATTATATTATCAAAATACACAAAAATAAGGAAAAATAACTTCCATTTTAAATATCTACTTCTTCACTTCAAGGAGAAGTAAGTAGCCAGCCATGGCTATAAGAAAATTTTGAACTTTGGTTGTCACCGAAGGATACTCATGTGTTAAATTATAATGGAGACTATACATAGACTTGTACGGTCCCATGGCGGTGACATCACTGGGAGGAAGCAGAAATTTCTTGTTGTGGTTGATCAACAGCGTCACAGGTATTTTGCAGAGTTTGAGAAACAAACACGAATGTGCAGATAAGTTAGAACTATTCGAAATGCCACTAAGACATTGTTAATAGATTCCAGTTTACCAATGAGATTCTGGATGGAGGCTGCACAAACTGCTATATATGCTTTCGTTACTCCCACGAAATACGGAAATGGTTAAGTTCTGGAACGAAACCCATGGTGTCACACATTTGGTTCCAAGGTTTTCTTCAAAAATTTGAAGCCAAATAGGAGAGAGAGAGAAAAAAAAGAAAAAAAGGAGAAGCAAATGCAGTATCTCTGTAGCATATTCGAGATGTTGAAGAGCTTAACAAATACATGACTTGAAAAACAATGACATATATGAATCAAGGGATATGTTATTTAGTCTGAGATGGGATTCAAATGGCTAGGCATTTCGAAACAAAAATTTTAACCATTTGGATTATGATTATCTTGATGGCGAACTGATAGGAACTGAAAACTGACAGATTACAAATAATGACGTTTTAATAAATTTGCAAGGACAGAATTAACAACCATGTCTCAGATATCAACAAAAATATGTCAAAGCAATGACGAAATTGATGAAGAAAGCAATCAAATTAAGAATGTTACAAATCAGTCAAATGAACATGGCACTGAAGCAAGAATTCGCAAATATGGCTGTAGAATCAACCCCAATAACATATCTAAACGCAATGAATGGGAGAAAATAATGAAATGAGTTAAGGTGACTACAAAACTATAACACGTGGAATATATAGAATCGGCTAGTGTCAATACTCTACAAAAAAGGGACATTTAAAAAAGTGTGTAAGCAACAAGGTGGAATACAAAGTGAGATTAGGAATGGATGGATCCAGATAAGCAAGTAGAAGAGATGTTGAGTGTTTTTACAGTCCTGTGATGAGGCTAGAAATGTTTTACATCTTGCTTTCTGTGACAGCATTGAGCAGTTATCATGTGAAACACTATGTAAAAACTGCTTACGTAAACAGAAAATTGAAAACACATTCATATGAAAATTCCAGATGTGCACATAGAAGGGAATAAAATTTTAAAGCTAAAGAAGAGCTTGTATGGCCCATCTGAAGCTGGGAGATGCTGGTAAAAGAAATTATGCAATGTTCTCAAGTAGTGTAGAATGCATTTGTGTAAGTGATCCTTGCATTTGTGTAAACACTCAAAATAAGGATTTTTTGATAATTGTTTTTTATGTAGATTGTATCATCACAGGAGATAATACCACTGTTACTGACAACTTGATAATGAATTTAAAGAAACATGTAATAATAAAGGTAGAGGACGGCGATTTGAATTAATCATTTCTGAGTACCAAAAGTTGTAAGAAGGAATATTGGTTTTTCCACTAGATCAGGAAAAATTTATTGACAAAATATGCACACATGAAGAGTGGGGGATTTGTCGGTAGTCGTGATCCATGTTATGATAGGTTTCATGTAGCACGTTAACAAAGTAGGGTTGTACTTGTTTATGGAAACCATATTGTAGTTGGTCTAAAATAAAAACAGATTATCTCCTCACAAAAAGACAGTTCTTTTTATTGGATCAGTTCCTGTATACATGTAGAATGATAAACTAAACTTGTTATCCCACAGTAAACACCATACATCACATGCTACTTGTATGGGTCACTTAATACTGAGCATCCATTATTTTGTTGGACTTCACCTATTTTCCAGGAATTCCTGTCAAAATTTGTTGAGTATTTCAGTTTATAGGGAAAATATTAAACAAATGCAGGTTACAATATCAAACTTCGATTGATATTGTATCAGTCCTGTGGTACCTCTGATTCTCTTGCATTACGAGAGCAACAACATTCTATTACTTTGTTACCTCCCATTAGGCATTTGTTGGTCTGCTTTCAATGAGAAAAATACAATAATATGAGCTTAACAATATATATATATATATATATATATATATATATATATA